CCCGAGAATCCTCAAAAGCTAATCCCGATCCATATTAAACTAAGTTATTGAAAAAGAGAAAAGACCTAAGATTTTATCTTCTTGCTAAGAGGATCATGCTCTTCTTCCAATTCAAACCTACTATCGATCGAAAGAAGAGAAAAAGATGATGCTTCGATCGTTGTTCCGTCCTCTTCGGTCGACTGAGCTCCGGCGACGCCCTCCTATGGAACCTCGCCCTGAAGCATCGTTGTTCCGTCCTCTTCGGTCGACTGAGCTCCGGCGACGCCCTCCTATGGAACCTCGCCCTGAAGCTCCACTCCTCCGGCGACTTATCCATCGCCATCATCCAAGCCAACTCCTCGTAAGAAGACCAATGCCAGGTCTTTACCTCTCTTTCGGCGACCTACGTCGGCGTTTACGACGGCCACGACGGACCCGAGGCCTCCCGTTTTGTCAACTCCCGCCTCTTCCCCCCATCTCCAGAGTACGAACCCTAACCCTAACCTTCAAATTTCTCAGTAAAATGCGACCAAAGTTTCAAATTTCGTCAGCATCTCCTCCCCCTCCTTCTATCAAACCCTGAATCTGAAACAAAACCAATGAAACTGAGTAGAGATCGAGAGAAAGGGGTTAGGGTTAGGGCTTGAATTGGATCCAAGATCTGACCTTTGGGGGATCTGGAATCAGATCCGAGTTTGAGAGCGCGGGATCTGAGGTCTCGTTGCTCTCCCCTCTTAGAGCGCGGGATCTGAGGTCTCGTTGCTCTCCCCTCTTCGCTTCGCTTACACTCTCTCGTTTTATGTAAGCTTCGTTTTTTGAAGAAATTTTGAAACCGGCATGAGAACGTGAGAGTTACAGGAGGTGGGAGAGTTTGGAATTACCGGAGGTGGGAGTTGGTTATAGGAAACGTGGGAGGTTGAGTTACAAAGACGGTTGTGGGAAATTGATATTAAAATACGTGTAAAATGAAAAATTTTACTGTTTACAGTAAGATTTTCCTTTAGTTATAAAGGAAAGTATATATATATATATATATATATATATATATACATACATACATAAAAACCAATATAATGTGTGTGTATATGATATTGAGCTTAGAGTACTTAATACACATAATATAAAACCTAAACTAAATTGCCCAAGTTTGATGAAGGTCAAGACACATGAAGACTGGGGATAATATGCGCACCAAACAAACACGCATAGACAAGGAACCTGTTGGAGCAACTTTCCCCCCTCCTACTCCTTATATTTAGTCTAGGACATGAGATAGGGAGACATGCTCTATGTACCTTTCGTAAATCTCATGCCAAGTTTGTCATGTCTTAGTCCCTGCTGAATATGTCATGGGAGCATGTTGATGTCAACGAAATACTAGACTCCATAAAGACAGCCAAGCTTCGGTAAACAATCAGTAACAAAGTTTACTTCATTGTAACAACGAAACATGGTCATACTAGCATCCTGTAATTAATGATGCATCTCTCTCCATTTATCAAACAACTGCCAGTACTAGGGAGATTGCTTTAATTTCCAATCAAACTCACCAAACTTTTGAATCAAAATGGGCACTAGATGGGTACAAGCCACAGTCGGCAACGTGTTCAGCACCCATTGCTAGTGCATGTAAAGAGTTACTTGTTTCCATCCTATGAGCAGCAGAGAAATCAGATTTTGAGCCTTCAGATATGTTTATATCATTGTCCCCATGAGTAGATAGAATGTAAGATGGGTCTGAGCCTAACAGAGCATCAACATCGCCCTTGTTATGATGGGAGGCGGTCGAAACGGGAATCACATTGTGCAAACCCTACCTATGCTTTTGCTTTTTCGATCTGTGCAACTTGTTGGTTAGCAACTGCCCAAAAAAAGTCTCATTAGCTTCTACATTATATTGATCAAAAAGAGGACAGAAAAGGACGGAGAGAGGAAAAAAAAATTACGCTCTATGGGGTTATTTATTACCCCTGATATATAATTAACTTACACCCAAGTGTCCTTGTGTTGTATTTCGGGTGTTTTTATTGTTTTTTGTCCTTGGTTTTTTTTTATGAAAAATATGTGAAAATGGGTTGGCCGATGTTGTCAAGCTTATGTGCATATGAATGCTCATCTTGTAATTGATGTTTTTAAGTATTAATGAGAATTAATCTTGTGTTTGTTGCATATTTATTTTTTCTCATTTTAAAATTTAGCTTATTTTTGTTTAGTTAATGTCATCTTAGGATGTATATGAAAAAAAAAAATTGCTTGTAAGAATATGAATGCTTGTTGTTACTTGTTTTACGTGCAAAGTTTTATATGTGCAGTCAATAAAATAAAATGTTCTACAAGTGGGATCATTAAGGGTCTGTTTGGTTAGAAATTTTTTTCCATGAAAGCTTGTCAAAGTGTCACTTCTTTGGCAGGCTTTCAGCAAAATCGCCTCCTAAAAGAGGCGATTTTGCTTGAAAGCCTGCTAAAAAATGGCACTTTTGACAGACTTAGAGAGCATTTCCCTCAAAAACAGGGAACCAAACAGCCCCTTAAGTGAAAAGGTAGAACATTTAAGTGAAAAGGTTTACAAGTGGGGTCATTTAAGTGGAAAAGGTTTACAAATGGGGTCTTTCAAGTGAAAAGTTTTACAAGTGGGTCATTTAAATAAGAACTTTTACAACTGGAGTCATTTAGGGCATGTTTGTTTGCACGGAAGTAATTGTGAAGTAGCTGAAGTAAAAAAATTAGAGGCTACTTCTGCTACTTCCAAGCAAAAAAATGTGTTTGGTTCTCTGAAAAACTTACTTCCAATACTTCCCTAAATGCTTATGTGGCGCCTACGTGTCATCCTTACTTCCAAAATATTTTTCCAATCCTCAATACTCAGAAATAGCTCGGAAGTAGTTGAAATGCATATTAATTATGATATAAATAATTTTTTTATTAATATTTCCTTTATTAGTTACTTCTAACAACTTTTCATTGATAAAATTACTTCCTAATAATATTTTCAAATGTTATCCAAACAAAAAAAGTAAATGAAGAGGAAGAAGTTCTACTTCCATTACTAAGTAAATGAAGAGGAAGAAGTTCTACTTCCATTACTTCTAAAAATATATGAAACAAACAAAACAAATGTTATTTCCACTACTTCCTACTTCATAGCTTTGAAAGTTACTTCTATAACATACTTGTTACTTCTAATACTTCCATTATCCAAACGGGCCCTTAAGTGGAAAAAAACCCGTGAAACAGTAGGTCGTTTTTGTAATATTTAGCCTATTCAAATTTTCATGTTTGCACAATAAAGAGTAGTAACATGCCAATTTTAAATAAGTGGGATAAATAAATATTGTTAAAAACAATTGAGGGTATATATGTGCACAATGAGTGAAATTATTTAACATTTAAAAAAGATTATGGAAAACTCACTAGTAGTTGCTTTCAGGAGCAAGACTCCTCCAAGTATGAAGCACTTATGTTTGAAGAAATGTAGGATGGCGTAATGTATTTTCAAGGTCCACGTCATAAAATCCAACTAGGAGTATTAAAGATTCGGAACAAGAGGCTTCCTTGAAAAGTTCGGCCTAGCTTGTAGAGATTGTTGTTGCTTCGATTATCAAATGATCTGTTCCCACAGAGAAAAGCATCATGAAGCCGAAGTAGGATCCTTGTCACTTTGACATCTAAGTCGGTGATTTATAGGAGATAATCTAAAAAAATTCCTGTGTAGAGTTAGATCTGAATTCTCGTTCTTGGAACTTTATGGTTAATTGAATAGAATTATTTTGTATTAGGCGGGAAAGGAGCTTACTTATTGAGCATGATGTGATGAGGCAAGCTGTGAGATGGCAACGAGCACCCTGCCATTAGTCACTGCGTGTTAATCTCCATGCTTTTAAAAATGACGTAGAATGTTGGGCGTTGATGGTGTCGACAAATCAATCACACTAATACGGCGATTTGGACAGCACAATGTCGGCAGAGAGCATAGGATGATCGGTCCGGGGCATGCTAGGCTATTGTATTTGGCTTTGTAGGATTGTACATGTGAAATTTGAAGTTTTAACTTATTACACGCTACTCAGAGCGTCAAACTTGAGCTGCAATGACACTTGTACATCTTTGAAGAAAGATTGTAACGAAAAGAAACCAACTGCATCTATATGGAGAGAGTAAAAACATATCACTTCAGAACCATCCACATGCAAGCGGGTGGTTCTGTACCATTCTGGGGACAATGAAATTCTAAAAAAATTCTCACTGCCCCCATGAATGGTATAGAACCACCTATTTATGTGCGGTTCCCAAAATACCTGCAACCAAAAAATAAATTAAAAAAACCACTCCGACCGACAAATGAATTGTATAGAACACCCCACTTGCATGCGGGTGGTTCTAATGCAACCTGGGGTCAAGAGAGCAAAAAGAACCTTTTGACGATTGAGCCGATGAAAACCATCAATGAGCGAATCTTACAAATATGGCGAAGTCCAGTTAAAAAGTAAAGCCCGGGCAGCCACTCAACTAGTTATCAAGTGTGTTTTATAACTTCCCATCGAGTTGATAATCTGTACTTTATGACACTGATTTGGTACCCCCGTTAATATAACTAGATAAACCCCTGTATCTCATCACCATTTCGAAACAAAGTAAAATTCATACCGTTGGTCATCAATCTTGAGTACAAAAATATACATTTAGCATATCACATCTAAGCTTCCTGAAACCCACTACAACCGCTGCGAACCGTCTGGGCAGCAAAAAGAAGTTGCTATCTTCACATCTGTACATGCTACACGCAACCGTTCATAATCTTATCAGGCGAACAGATTTAACGGACAAGGTCAGCTGACTTCGACCAGAGAGAAACAAGATATGCTACAGGCTCTCCAATTTCATAATTGACATGTGCCGATTGTTTGCAATACAACTATAGCGCTATTATCCAGGGCGCACCTAGAAATTTCTTCAGTCCCTACTTCCAAAGTCGGGAGAAAAAAAAAACACAATAAGATGGGCCAACACGTGCAAAAGGATCGTGCTGAGCCAGAAACGGCGTTAATATATTCATTTTCCTTTATCATCAATATTCTCAGCACAACAGAAATTAACATGATGTCGTTGTTGTCCCCATGCCTATATCAGTTTATGTACATATCTCCAGGAACATGAAAGGAAAAAAAGAGAAAAGCTAACCATGGTTAAAAACTAGTGCTTTGCGCTGTTCACCGTCTTTGGTAACTTGGACTGCCTTGCTCTAGATAATCATCAGGTCCGTCTTCCTCATCAGAAGAGAGAAGAGAGGAGCCCATCCATGACTTGAATCCTTCATGTACACGTCTCTCCACTTCTGGTGTCACTTCTACAACGGTTTCTGCCAACTCTAACCCTAAATTCCTTGCAGAGAACTCACCCTCATCAAGAATGACTGCAGCTTTTCTTCTAAGAAAGAATGCGGTGAAGCCATACAACAACACCAAACCCAACGATGCAGTCTCATAGCACCAAAAGAGAGGGATTGAGCAGTTACTCCCAAGAGTGAGGAGGCTCGAACCAAGAAAAAGTGCCATGAGACCAAACACCACAGCAAACACAGTATTGAGAATGGATAGACATCGGACTCCACCTGCATGAATTTAATATAAACATTTAATAGAGTACACAGAACAAGGACAAGACAAACCACATGTACAGTAGGCACCAACTTTACTATGGGAATGCATTTTTATCTGGCTCTTTGGTTGCATCATTCTATAGAATGAATTTGGTTCCCTGTGCAGATATCTATCTTATCATCTCTTATTGGTTCAATCTTCTTGAATTTAAACTCATTACAAATCTAAGGGAGTTTAACACCCCTGAGTTACATGAGAATTGAGCTGAATGGTTTATCAGATAACAAATACTGGTATGCTTGGTAGTAAAAGAAGCTTCTTCTTCGGAGAGATTAGGTTAAGGGGATGCTGTTTGTTTATTTGTTAAGTTTCCAAATAGAGCCTTCAAAATCTGGAAACATCCCAACTTTGATTGGAAAGAAATTACACAATAATGCTGCTAATGGTAATTACTAGTTACAAGAAGTTACTGGGCCCATGATGTCTGGCATGGGGCTAAAGATCGGCTTGTAGGAGTGTCAGGTTGAAGTCTGGTTACGGCAAATAGGGGGAGACAAGGTGTCAAATGTAAGCTTATCCTTAAAATAAGGATTTAGCTAGTATACGCATTTGTCTGCAGGTAAACAATATAATATATATGACATCTATATGACTTCAAGCTTTTAGTTGGAAATTGCAAAATAATGACCACAATAATCAAAAACATATTCTGTAGACAATAAGGTGCTATAGCCCCCTTTGCACACCGATGGATTTGCCTTGAGATGCAAAAAGTCCATGCACTAATCTCTGCAGGTGCCTCTTTGTCTGATAATTTCTAGCTTAAGACATCAAAAAGTCCATGCACTGACCTCAGTGTAACTGCAGGCAAATCTTCGTCTGATAATTTCTAGCTCAAGACATCCTTGCAAAATCTATCTCATGATGTTATTCAAGGCAGAAAATATTTCAAGTGTACAAACTCATGCATGTCATTTTGGAGACAGATGGAAATACAATACTTTATTAAGTACTTAACACAGCATCATTCCACGTCCCTCTGATAGCTAAGATAAATATAGAGAACACATTATATAAGCTCTAGGTGATAATCATATTTTTATTACAATTTTATACCATCATTATCTATTTTTCATGAATAAATACACCACTAATAATTGTTTTTATCTTTAATTGTAGGTCAATGAAGAATAAAGCAAAAGAAAAAAAAATCTCTCTCAACAAAACCCATGAATTAATGAAGGATACAAGCAAGAGGCCAAGATCCAAAGCCAAAAGCCAAAGCCCAAGCCCAATAGAAGAGAAGAAATACGGATGACAATTCCAGCACAGATTGTGCTTTTTTGTATGAATATTGCTCATGATATGTTCCGATTTCAGAGATATCATAAATACAAAAGTTGTAGATCTCGTTCTCAGCTTTCCATAGAATGTTTATTCAGCCAAATCCGAGTTGATACCAGAGAGATATGGCCAAAACACCAGACATTACCAAGCTGTCCAGATTTGCATGATTTGTTTCCTTTTTCACCAAACTTCTTAATTTGTTCCTATAATTATCTTAGGGCTTACGTTTTGATCCAACGGCTCTCACTCACTATTGTATGCTATAAATAGGGGTAGATAGTAAGTGATTAGGGTGTGAAAAATTTTGTAACTCCTTTTTGAAGAGATGAGGGTTACTCTTGACTGAGAAGACCTTCCACTTTATAACTTTTGTTATAATTAATAAAATCTTTTTCCTCTTCATATTTTCTTCTCTTTGTTTGATGATGATGATGGAGATGAAGCTCAATTGGAAGGTTCGTCTTTTATTTTCTCTTTTTATTTTTTTGTAATTATTTCTTTTCTTTTAGTGGTTTAGATTTATATTTATGTATTGTAGAGTAGATTTTATTTTCTTGTTTTTATTTTATTTTGCCCTTTGTAGCTTAGATTTATTTTCTTGCATAGTTTAGATTTCTTTTTCTTTTCTTTTACAATTAGTTAGATTTATTTTCATAATTTCTTTTCTTTATAATTAGTTTTCCTTTCTTTTCTTTTATTGTTTTTCTTCCTTAAAGATGTGGATCTAATTCTTGTAGAAACCCTAGAATTGTATGAAGCTAGTTTTTTTTTTGGTGAATTATACACTTGCACTTTAATTGATCATGGGTAGGATAATCAACTAGAGAACTAATTGGTAGAAGAAGAATTTGATAATCAATGTTTATTTTGAGTGGTTTGATAGGTTATAATTTATAATTGAAATTAGCTAGTGAATTCAACTATAGATTCCTCATATTTCTCATTGAAACTTCCATCTTCACTTTCTTGAGTTTTCTTTCTCCTCAAATTTCATTGTTCATAATCACAACACTCATCATATCTTCCCCAATCATATTCAATTATCACTCCTAATTGTCACGCACACGACATAAGAACTGATTTTAATTATCTCTTACAGCACCTTTCTCGTGGGATCGATAACTTTTTTACTATATCTTGATTGGTTATGCACTTGTAACTTTTGGACATCATTTAGACCCCCATCAAGTTTTTGGCGTCGTTGTCGGGGAAGATGCATAAGTAGGATTTTAAATATTTTGGTTCTTTAACTTGTGTGTTTTCTTGTGAAGTAACCGTTTGGAGCTTGATGAGCACGGATTGGAGATTAAAGATTTGAAGATTTGCTTTCAGTAAATCTTCTTCCTAGTATGTTCAATTCCACCTTTTTAGGTAGTTCTTCACAATTAGAGACAATTAGGACTTAAAAAAAAAGATTTTCTTTTTTGTTGACCATAAATAAAATAAAAAAATTTTTATCATCCTTTGTAGTCGCTTTTAATTCATAAGATTGCATTGTATATAGTTAGTAGGAATTCACCAAAGTGATTTGAGCATCTTGATTTGACACACACTTGAAAATATTCTTAAGGGTAATACCCCCTAATCAAGATAAGCTGAGGGATTTCATCATCATTTTCTTATCCCACAAATCACTAATTCCTCACTACACAAACCCAAGCCTTTTAAAACTCATTAGACGTTGGCCTCTAAGGACTCGAGCTCAATAAGGAACAAGAAATCCCTAAGCGAACCGGTTTAAAAATTCTTGGATTAGTGGTGTCTAAGGTAAGGTTTAGGGGTTATGTAAAACGTTCCGTAAGAAACGAGGTACTTAATTGATCTTTGATCTCCCTTAAGTATTATCCTTACCTGACTAACTAACCGAGTAAAACTTTGATCGTTTCATTTAAGGAGCTTTTGATTAGGAGTTGGTCTAGCTGAGTTAGGCTTAACCCTAGAATTTAGAGTGATTGCAAAATGATTGTTTTTTATTTGTTTTAGTTAAGTTTTTCTTTTTCTCTTTTTTCCTCTCATTATCTTAAAAAAACACTAACTTTTATTTTTCTTTAAAAAAACTTTTTGGTGTATGCGAACGTGGGTTAGGGATAATACCAATCGCTTAATTCGCGTTGAACCAACTGTAGAAATAGCTAATCCACATGTTCTTCAAGATATGTGTTATCCCACTACGAATGCAATCCCTTCTTGCATTAGACTCCCCGAAGTAAATGGAACTAACTTTAAGCTTAGACCGTAGTACATAAACATGCTTTCAAAATTCCTAGGAAATAAAACTGAAGACGCTTATATCTTTATCTCTGAATTTAAAGAAGTGTCTTATGATCAAAATTAGAGAACTATCCGAAGACGCGATCAAACTCCGATTTATTACGTTTGCCCGTAAGGACAAGGCCAAGAAATGGTTGTATATTTTACCCACAAACTCTATTTCAACTTAGGATAAATTCATCACTGTTTTTTTTAAGAAATTTTTCCATATCCACAAAACGGTTAAGGTAAGAAACAACATCATGAACTTTAAAATTACCCCGGGAGAGCCCTCCTGGAAGTATTTTAATAGGTTTAAGGATCTTCTTAGTCAATGCCCTCATCACGGTCTAAAAAACTAACGATTGTGCCAAATCATCTATGAATGATTGGACTATTTTTCAGAAACTTCCCTAGAATCTATGTGCCAAGGGGATTTCATGAAGAATGCCGACAAAGCTTGGGAATTTTTAGAGAGTATCCGAGAAAACCATGCAGTGGGAACATTGTAATAATCAAGTTTTCATCAGTTCTCCAGCCCAAGTCCAGTGATCTTTCCTTAGAGCCAAACATTGCATCTGAAGCTAAGATGACTACAATCATGCGTAGGTTAGAAGCCCTAGAAGTCAAAGAAAGAACCCCAACTCAAATCAATCAAGTTTCTGTCTCAGATTATCATAACTGTCTTTCACCATCTCATGTCTCAGAAAAATGTCCTCTTAGGAAACAATCAACTATTTGCATAGGTTAACGCTGCATTCCAACGTCCTGTGAATGATTCATTCTCTCCAACCTACAATTCAGGTTGGAAAAATCACCTCAATTTTGCATGGAATCAATGAAATCTCTTCGGAAATTAAAATTTTAATCCCACTTCAAACTAATACTTTTCTCGGGGAAACATAGTTCCTTTCAGTTCTCCACCAAGTTTCCAACAGCCCAATCTGTCACTTCAAAATCAGCCTCCTCATCATCAAGCTGCAACTCATATTCCTCCTAATTCAGATCATGATAGACGTCTCAATGTCTTAGAAAAGGGGTTAGAATCCATAATTAAGGCATCTACACAAATCACAAATATGTTGACTCAAACATCTAACGCTTTAAATTCTTTCATGCAATCAACTAGACAAATTCTTAATCCAACACTCAAGTCATAACTCGATTAGAAACTTAACTTGGTCAACTAGCTAATGTCGTGAGTGGAAGAGAAAAAGAAAAATTTTTGAGTCAACTTGTGATCAATCCTAAGGACACAGGATCTAGTTCATCCTACGAAGCTCAAGTGAATACAATCCATTCTTTACGGTCAGCAAAACAGATTGATAACCACATTAGAGTACCACCAGATCAAACCCTTCCTCCCATCCAACACACTCCTTCTGATGACGTGACTCCTCTTGATGACTAAGAA